CCCCCCCCCCCCCCCCCCCCCGCCCCGGCATCGTCACCCCCCCACCCTCCCGTTTTCTGATGACGAGAAGTATTTTGGGCTCTGTGTAAATACATCAACTGATGGCATTTTTTTCAGTGTTTTTTAAAGCTGTGTACAGTGGTACATGTGGTATGACGTTGCCTCCGGTTGTCTTAATTGTAGCAAAGCGTTTTTTGTCGTAATCCTGTTTTTCACCCTTCTGTTCCAATACTTTCCCCCCCTCCCTTCTTCCCCCCCTCCCCAAACCGCACCTTCCACCCCCCACCCCCCCATCCTGTTCTCTCAGCAGCTGAGTTCTAATGTACAGAAGTAATTGCTATGTTTTAGGCTTTACGGAAACTTTTTTCCTGTATTCTGTATATAAAACTACAAAATACGGCACTCGCTGGTGTCTGCCTGTCTGTCGAGACTCCCCCACCAAGGGGCCACCAATCACTGCCATCACCACCGTCCCATGGGACCGCTCCCGAAGACCCCTGCCCCAGCCCTGGCTCCGACACGACCCACCCCCTGGCTAGTGCCCAGATCTGGAGGGGAGGCAGCTGTCTGTCCAGCAAGAGGGCCGGGCGCTTCCATGTGGCCCTTATTGACCATGGAAGATGGGGCACCACGATGGAGGTTCCCTCAAGGGTTCTTTTCTCATGCCCAGAACTCAAATGCTCTCATCCTCGGGCAAGCTGAGAGTCAGCCTGTTGCCAAGAAGTTGCCCGGCCACAAGATCTTGGTTCCAAAGGGGCAACTCCAGGAGGACCCACATCTTTCTCCAGACCTAGAGTCCCTCATGACACCAATTCTGATCCCTCACCCAAGTGAAAGTCCTGCACTGCTCCAGACTGGTATTTTGGTGAGGTTAGATATATCAGGGCTTCTGTGGGAGACACAACGCTGGGCCACCGAAACCTGGTAGCAAACAGGCTGGTGAGCAGATGAATCTCTTCCGTACACTGATGACGTTATCTAGTTCGGTTACGAAACGTCTGCAAGAAAACCACCAAGGTCAGAGAGCACCAAGGATCTCCCAGAATTTAAATTAGTAATTTGTAGTTCAAGGTTGACCTCTGGCACCCAGAACTTCTGAAGGCAAGCTGTTCCACTGGTTCGACTAGTGTCGGACTCAAGGCTCGGGAACCAGATCTGCCCACGGGGTGCTTAGATCTGGCCCACAGGGAATTCACCCTGGGGACAGCGAAGGACCAGCCTGCGGTGCCTTTGCAGATGGAGCTCGGGAGGGCCGTGCGTAGCTCTCGCGGGCTCCATTTTTGCTGGCACTCGGGGCAACCACAAGCGCCTTCGACATGAGTGACAAGTCAAGCTGGCCACGCCCTCCCCCAGGTCAAATACTGCCCTGATGCGGCCCTGAATGAAATCAAGTTTGACACCCCTGCAGTAGTTAATTGTCCTCACTTTTAGGAAGTTTCTCCTTAATTCCAGGTTACTTCTCCCCTTGATTAGTTTGCATCCATTGCTTGTCCTGCCTTCGGGTGCTTTGGAGAATAATTTGAC